AATCACAGAAACGTTTTTTTAATGAAACGTTTTATTGATTTTATTATAATGCTTATTGTTATATTGCAAACGTTTTATTGGTTTTATTATAATGCGTATTGTTATATTGCAAACGTTTTATTGATTTTATTATAATGCTTATTGTTATATTGCTATCATAACCTTTCGAATCTCTTGAATATTAATATTTTTCTTGACTAAAAATATAAAAGAAAACATCTTCGTCAACATGTATGGACCAAACAACAGAAACCTTTAAAAATATAAAGTCCCGAGAACGAAATTAATCAGTCACCTTTATGTCGTCAATTAACCATGACATTCATTGGAGGCACCATGCATATAGTTTATTACACAGAAATACAATAAAAACAATTTACATTATGCAAAAAGCATGCGTAAAAAGAGACAAACAATGTTTATTTGTATTCACATTACAGTTATAAACACTTACGGTCCTGCATACTGTCAATCCTTATATTTTGGTATTGCACAAGGTCGTGCTTTTCTAAGACTGTTAATGTCGTCTTTACAGTAAATTATTGGATGTGTAGTAGGAACAGAATTAATTCGTTAGTTGCAATTGTCTATGAATTAGCTTTAAGTAACTGAAAATAATCTAAGATCGGTACTTTGATTATTAGTCTGTTTGTTAATTTTTGTCCGTAGTGTCAATCTGATGAATCAAGTCTTCTTTAATTGGTTTTTATTGTTTGTTCTTATGTTGTGGTGTAACAAAATTGTTCCGTGTTAGTGTGAGGGTTGAGCACTCGCGAACATGTTTAACCCAACAACATTATGTACTTGACTGTGCAGAAATGATCCTATACTTCAGGGGTTGTCGTTGGTAGCTGTCTATCTTATCTGTTTTCTCTTTACTGTTTTGGTCATAAGTCAGTCCGTTGGTTTTATCGTTTGAATTGTTTTATTTTTTTTGCATTTCTGAAACTTTATTGCTTAGGATATGGTATGGGTTTTGCACATTGTTGAAGGTCGGATGGTGACATATCAGTTGGTTAAATTTAGTCTCATAAGCCCGTTGTGATGTTTACAATTGTCGATTGTCATGGTCGATGTCATTCAATTATCACTGATACACTATTAGATCGTGATAGCTTTTAATTAATGACAGCTGTTCACTACTATAAACATATGTTGTGGGCTGAATGTCAATTACAGGACCGTAAAAATAATATATACGACAATGAGAGGTCAATATATACTATTTAATAATAGGCAAGTATTCATCCGACATGTCCAAGGACAAGGTTTGAATGAATCCAATCTATATGTCACAAACATCAAATGAAGTTGCTATAATTAGACAGGCAAATGTACATCTATATTTTGCAAGGTTAAGAATCGCTGCTATGCATTTATCAAGAAATTAAAAAAAAAACGAATACAGAAACAAACAATAAAATAATCCAATAAACATTTAACTTATTAGTATGGAAAGATTCTAAAAAATTGTTAGCTATATGACAGTGTCAAATGAAATGTCAAATTCTGCACGTGTAGGATTGCATGTTTTATTTTAGCACTCTCTGCGACGGTATTGACGGTATTGAATTGTGTTGTACTTGCGTTTTTGTTATCTACTGATGTCATTTAGAGTTCTTTTTCTGACTGATTATTATTGTACTTGTATGTACATTATGTTGATCCAGATTTAAAAAAAGGGAAGGTTTATTCCAAAAACAGAATAGTTATTCCCGCCATATCTGTATCTGTATATGTATAAGGAATTCCCTAGGCCTCCTTCAAATGAGCACTTCTTTTCAGAATCGGTTTAAAGTTATACTCGTGTGCCTGTTTAAAGCCAGGTACCGATTTAGAAGTGGTCATAAATTAATGCTATTTGTTATTTGAAGCACTCGATGTTGAAGAAGATCTTTAGTTAGTGCCATTCATTACCAAATTTTGTAAAGCAAATAAAAGTGATTAAAATAAAAACAATAATGACATTAGGAACTATATGACCAAACTGGTAAAAAAGGACACTTACCAGTGAGAGATTAATATAAAAATAATAAAAAATTAGGAGATGTGGTATGATCACCAATGAGACAACTATCCACCAAAGTTCAAATGAATTGGATGTAAGCAATTATAGGCAACCGTATGGCCTTCATTAATTAGAAAAGCCCATAACGTATCGTTGGTTATAAAAGGCCCTGAAATGAAAAAATATGAAACAATTCAATTGAGAAAACTAACCGCCTACTATATAACAAAACAATTTACGAAAAACAAATATGACAGAGATTAACCACCTACAACCACTGAACTACAAGCTCCTGACTTGGGACAGGCATATAAAGAATGTGGCGGTGTTAAACATGTTTGAAGGGCCAACCCTTTTTTAACCTTGGACAGTGGTGTAACAGTACAACATAAGAAAAAACTATAAAACTCAGTTAAGAAGGGCTTAACTCATCGGATCGATTCACAGCAGAAAAACATCTAACAAAAACACAGACCGGACGTGGCATGGTATAAAGCTTGCTATAAAACCAGGTTTTTACCCACCATTTTCTACGGAAAATAATTGTACCAAGCCTGGAATATGACAGTTGTTTTCCATTCGAACTGTTGGTTGATATAGTCGAGCATTTGATTTTGTCAGGTTTTATGGACTTCCTACTTTTTGAATTTACCTTGGAGTTCGATATTGTTGTTAATACTTTTGTATCTCAACACCAAGTGCTTCAAATAACAAAAAGCATTAAGATATGACATGTGACAAAGTCTTACGAGGATGACATGTGACAAAGTATTACGAGGATGACATGTGACAAAGTCTTACGAGGATGATATGTGACAAAGTCTTACGAGGATGACATGTGACAAAGCCTTACGAGAATGACATGTGTCAAAGTCTTACGAGGATGACATGTGACATATTATTACGAGGATGACATGTGTCAAAGTCTTACGAGGATGACATGTGACAAAGTCTTACGAGGATGACATGTGATGTAACAAAGTCTTACGAGAATGACATGTGACAAAGTCTTACGAGGGTGACATGTGATGAAACAAAGTCTTACGAGGATGACAAGTGACAAAGTCTTACGAGGATGACATGTGACAAAGTATTACGAGGATGATATGTGACAAAGTCTTACGAGGATGACATGTGACAAAGTCTTACGAGGATGACATGTGAAAAATTATTACGAGGATGACATGTGTCAAAGTCTTACGAGGATGACATGTGACAAAGTCTTACGAGGATGACATGTGATGTGACAAAGTCTTACGAGGATGACATGTGACAAAGTCTAACGAGGATGACATGTGATGTGACAAAGTCTTACGAGGATGACATGTGACAAAGTCTTACGAGGGTGACATGTGATGTGACAAAGTCTTACGATGATGACATGTGACAAAGTATTACGAGGATGACATGTGACAAAGTCTTACGAGGATGACATGTGACAAAGTCTTACGAGGATGATATGTGACAAAGTCTTACGAGGATGACATGTGACAAAGTCTGACGAGGATGACATGTGATGTGACAAAGTCTTACAAGGAAGACATGTGACAAAGTCTTACGAGGATAACATGTGATGTGACAAAGTCTTACGAGGATGACATATGATGTGACAAAGTCTTACGAGGATGACAGGTGACAAAGTCTTACGAGGATGACATGTGACAAAGTCTTACGAGGATTACATGTGACAAAGTCTTACGAGGATGACATGTGATGTGACAAAGTCTTACGAGGATGATATGTGACAAAGTCTTACGAGGATCCTGACTTTGAATAGGTACCTGAATATGTGATGGGAATAACTATTCTGTTGTGGTCCCGATACTTGATCTGGACCTGCGTCGCTCCATGTAATTGATTGAGCGTGCATGTATACTATCTGTACTTAATTTCCTTTTATTGTTTGGATGTACAAACACCCGTCCACGTCAACTCTGTGTTTTTGTTAGATGTATTTCTATGTGTATCCATCTGATGAGTTCAGCCTTTTTCGACTGATTTTTACAGTTTGTTCTTATGTTGTACTGTTACACCACTGTCCCAGGTTAGGTGATGGTTGGTGCCTTCAAACTAGTTTAACCCCGCCACATTCTGTATGTGCCTGTACCAGGTCAGGAGCCTGTAATTCAGTGGTTGTCGTTTGTTGCTGTGTTACATATTTGTTTTTCGTTCATTATTTTGTACATAAATTAGGCCGTTAGTTTTCTCGTTTGAATTGTTTTGCATTTGTCATTTCGGGGCCTTTTATAGCTGACTATGCGGTATGGCTTTGCTCATTGTTGAAGGCCGTACAGTGACCTATAGTTGTCAATTTCTGTGTCATTTGGTCTGTTGTGAAGAGTTGTCTCATTGCCAATCATACCACGTCTTCTTTTTTATAAAGCATAACTGACCATTCCCTTTCATTTAAGGCAAGAAAACTTTGACGATAATTTTATTTACAATGAGTGTTGTAAACGAGAAAGAGAAAACTATCGGCAAACAGGAAGTGGCTGCACAGTGCACAGTAAAAATTGCTTACTCGCTACAACTCAACATTATCAAGCTGCAAACTAAGTCATTCTCTTTTATACAAGCCAAAAAAACTTTGACAAACGTTTCCTACTCGACGATTTTTTACGGACAGACGGACGGATGGTTAGACGGACAGACAAACAGACGCACGGATGGACAGACGGAAAGACGGAGTCGAGCGGTTACTATAGTTGTCTTCGCCTTCGGCGACGCAAGTAAAAAAACTTAAGGCTGAGCAACATAAATCCCGCAAAAATTGGGGAGATCTGATGTACTTAGGAAGGGTAATCATATCCTGCTCCACATATGGCAACAGTCGTGTTGCACATGGGAAGTACAATTTCGGTAAGTCTCATTTGTTGGTGTGACAAATAGCTTACAAATCTGTTTTTTTCTTATAATAAACTAACAAGAACGCGAAACCCTAAAGCGTCGATCTATGTTTACTTGCATTTACTTAAAGCTAGTTCAAAGCCAATTTCAACCAATAAGTAAACCATTTTATTATCACAATAAAAAAAATTGATGTTTACAAATAAACAGAACTAAAACTCTAAATATTGTTGATTTTTAAATATTTTTCCCACGAGCATCACTGAAGAGACATTAGTTTCAAAATAAGCAGCTGGTGTAGTAAAATTGGTACCGTAAATGTAATTGTACTTTCAAACATATAATTAAATTGAAATTTTGTGAAATATATCTATTACTGTATAAAATGTACGTAAATAGCGACAAAAATAATCATTTTCTTTAATTTAAAGCATTATTCCAAGCTAGTTCATTCAGAATTAAACTTAACAACATACAAATGTACTTAAGTCAGGCCATTGCCTTTGCGGACTAAAATGTATAATATGAAATTTTGTTGTTCTGTTTACAATCAGGCAATCAGAAAAGGGAAATATATTTCTAACTTTTTTCCGGAATTAAAGAATCTTGACTTTTTACCCTTGTTAAAGCGACATTTGAAAGTGTTCCCTACCACATGAAATGATAAGTAATACCGTATAGAAACCCTTGAGTTAGAGACATTTTCCGGCAGATACCGATTAGACACAATTCAATTATCTAGTTTAATAAGATCCCTACTTCCTGTGTTTTACTGAAGTTCTTGATATATTTCCTAAACGGCTAGGGTCGCTTTTTGAGACATTTTGGTATTTTAATCTATTCGCTTGATGTTGTTTATATTTGCTTCGTATATATAATATATGCATCTTTTGAATATTGGTCAGTCTTTGTGAACAGATATATGTACCCTAAACTCTTCAAAAATATATTATATCTAAGATATCCCTGAGATAATTAACTATTTGTTATGTCAAACAATGATTTAGATATGAATTAAACCGCTTAGCGCATAAAGAATAATTAAGATACGAGATTCAGTTTGGATTAGTTCTAACCTTTCATTAAAACTGTCAGAATTATATGTTACAGTTTGGATTAGTTCTAACCTTTCCTTAGAACTGTCAGAATTATATGTTACAGTTTGGATTAGTTCTAACCTTTCCTTAGAACTGTCAGAATTATATGTTACAGTTTGGATTAGTTCTAACCTTTTCTTAGAACTGTCAGAATTATATGTTACAGTTTGGATTAGTTCTAACCTTTCCTTAGAACTGTCAGAATTATATGGCATAGAACTGTTCTTCCACTGTTCTTGGGTAAAACTGTCTGAATCAATTCTAGGGTAACACTGTCCAAAGATGTTCTAGGCTTGAATTCTCAGAATATATTCGAGGGTAGAACAGTTCTAAATGATTTAAATTAGAACAGCTATTTGATATTGATTTAGAAAACTGTAAGTTAGTTTGATTTTCCCTGTAAGTCATAATTTATATTAAAATGATTTAATAATAAAAGAAAATGTAGTCTTGATTGGATATTTCTATTATTTCTATATGTTTATATTTAATTTTTAATCAACATTTTTGTTTGTTGGTATATAATATTTTTTAAGCATCGAGGAAATACACTTAAATTATTTTCGTACTTATCATAACAAATACTAAAACATATAATATATTCTATGAAAGAAACCTTGGAAATGTTTATTACTGGTAAAACATATAGATTACACAGTAACCATATCATTTTTCTCGGGAAATATTTTTTTACCCGAGATTACCTGACATTATCCATGATATAAATGTGGCTTAGTAGCTATATAGTTACATATTTGCGTAAATTTTGACATGAGCTAATATTAAAAACAGATTGAAACTAGAAAGAAATATAAATATAAAAACTTTTTGAATATTCAACCATGCTCAAGTAACAACAATATCCAAGAATATTTTGTTTGAAATGATATGAATATAAGGAAAATAAATAAATACATATGGTCCGAGGACACATTTCGTTGTCTTCAAATATAGTCCCTCGTGTGGACAGTGTATAACTTGCAAATTTTTTTCATACACTTTCCAAATTTCTTTCTTTATATTTTATGCATTAAATATTAAGTAAGGGGATGAAATTACATGTTAAAAATATTTGGGTGCTGAATCTTTATGTTAAGTAGTGATTTGGTCCAGTTAAAAAAGGTCAAAAACTAGTATGTCTGAAGCTGTCAAACTGAATTTTAGACCCCTTTAACATAGAATTGTCAATATTTTGAGTTAGAGCTAGTAGACTTTTCTATAATTTTGATACTATTTGTCCCAATAGTAGTACACTACACTGTAAAAATCTTTTTGAGATAGAGCAGGTGCGATTTTTTTAATTTGAATTTATTGTCTAAAAGAAATGCACTACGAAATAACTGTGTTCTCGAGCCATATACCAAATAAGAAGATGTGGTATGATTACCAATGAGGCCTGTACGTTCAAGATGAATAGCATTGTTATTACAATAACTTGTATTGTCTATGACGTCTCTTTTTATGGTATTTTCTTCTGCTTTTACCATTCTGTGTTCGTTGTTTAATCTTTCTTCTAACACGTTTACAATGTCTCCTGATATCCTTGTCAGGACAACACAGGGAACATGTAGATTTGTAATTACTACTACATCTGTTTACACCTTTCAATTTGCAATCTCTGCATCTACCTTTTATAACGTTTGCGGGACATTTCTTTGTAAACTTCTTGTTGCAGTTGATGTCTGAAATAGAGATTATTTTCTTATTTTGCTATAAAAACGATTAAAGCATTGCCAGAGAAAATTTTTTCGTCTTACACTTTTTAGGAGGTAACGGTAAAAAGATCGTTACTGAAGTTCCGCATCAAATATTTAATTCTAACCGTAAAAGATGATATTGCCATCATTCGCAACTAATGGAGTTACATTGTAACCAAAACAACTGACTAACTAACTAACTAACTAACTGAAAATACAAAGGCGTCTTGTAAGAAAACTATCTTTGATATCAATAATTTTTCTAATACAGATTTTCTATCACGCCAGTTTGATAATAGTTCTATCTGTGTGGTTTTAACCTTTTTTTACTTTTAAAGCACATAATGGTAAAAAATTATAACAAAAATCTATATTTTTCAACACGACACATATTACGTACCTGTCATGTCCATGGTCTGTTGTGCATTTCTATATGTTTTCAGTAACTTGGCACATGCTGATGTATTTGCAAATACTGTGGCATTATTTTCGATCTCTAAAATTAACAATTTACTTAATTATTAAATATAATAACATGAATTTGATCAAAAGTGAATGGAGATAAGCCATAATTCGTTTCAACTACTATGTACGTCGGAATCATATGCTGAGTAATGTATTTTGTGGCAATCAAGATCATATTATAAATGAATAGTGTTATGATGTTCCAGTTGATTAATATATAATTATCAGGTGTGTTGGTATAAACCACTTTAACATAAGAGACGTCAGCATCGTTCTCAATATTCGCCCCTTGGTCAGAGGACTTGGACCTAAAACCTAGTTGTTGTTTTTTTTTTTTTTTTTTAGCTTTTGTTAAACAAATATGGATGAACATATACCTTGGTGTATTCTTAGATCAAAGGACTAGGAACGGTCGTGTTAACATTGTGATCTAAAGCTTTTAGTAAAGGGACTAGGAATGGTTGAATTCGCATTTAGAGTTTTAACTTAAAATTCAAGGTTGGGGATGGTTGGGGTTTTATTCAACCTCGAATAAACCAGGAGTACAATTTAAACGCTAAAATATTTTTTTTAAAAGCATACAATGGTCTATTTTATGTTTCAAATCATAGTAAGTATGTTGATATCACTGGAATGTCAAATAAAGATTTCCCCTTATGATATTAAGACAATTCTTAAGATAAGTTATACGTTATATACTCACTATTAAAACAAATAACAAAACCACGCCCTCCTTTTGAGACATATTGTCCTGGTTGTGTTTCAAATCTGATTGAAACATTTCCGCTTGATATGTTAAAAACTTGATCGAGGCCAGTTCGTGGTACAAGCTTGTCATTTATATATAACTGGTCAGTGTTTTTGTCTATATCGAACATATGTGTAGAAATATGAATTCTGTTATATCTATGGTTGTCCATATTGATCAGCTTCCGGCATTGAAATGCAGCGTTATTTTTAATATTTTTTCCAAAATCATAATTCCATGGAATGTTTGGATGGCTAAGTATAACTCCGTCAGTATATGAGGTAATATATTTGGTTCCTTCACAGATACCGTGGCTGAAATATGTCGATTTCTCTGCAAAAATGAGTTTCTTTTAATTAGATTCTGTAATAGCTATAGAACCAGGAGAAAAGCTGATATAAACAATGATTTGCATAAGATACCAATCGCTCATAATAAAGATATCGGTATACAAAACGAATATCGCGAAACTTTATTTGCAAGATACAATATTATATGTGCTATAAAATGATTACATGTAAATAATAAAAAGGTTGAAAGAAGATATGAAGTAAATACCCATAACAGTCTAACCCAATAACTGTTTTAAATGTTGCTTACATAGGCAGCACTGTGTATATACCAAAGGCAGCTTCTAAATAGTCTAGAGTCTACATAAGTAGCAATTTAACATATCTAGTATTCTTATATCTGCTTGTTTTGAATAGACTATTTCAATAGAAGAGCATTAGAAATATATTCTTTTACTAACAGCTCCAAGAGGATTCCTACAATGTATACCGCTACATTTTTGTAACTTTTTCATTGATTTGGGTCAATCGTATTACATATACAAACAATTTTGACCGACACAAGTCCATTATTTCACATGTGGTACAAATGTACCTTTGTTTTGTTATATTTGCATATCCTAAGATCTATACAATGCCTACCCGTTATTTGTAGTTGTGCGTACCTTTCTGGATGATTTAAGCCTATTTCGTTTATTATGATCACCTTTAGACACACACACGTTCATTATTTTACATGAACGTACCTTTTTGGTTTGAACAAGTTGTTAATTTTACCTGAACATTATAAAAAAAGGAGATGTAGTATGATTGCCAATGAGACAGATAACCACGAAAGTTCAAACGAAGTGGATGTAAGAAATTATAGGCAACCGTACGGCCTTCAACAATGAGAAAACCACATACCTTATAGTCGGCTATGAAAGGCCCCGACACGAAATTATGAAACAATTTAAATTGAGAAAACTAACGGCCTAATTTATAACAAAACAATTAACAAAAATCAAATATGACAGAGATGAACCAACGACAACCACTGAACTACAGGCTCCTTACTTGGGACAGGCACATAAAAGATGTGGCGGGTTAAACATTTTTTTGAGCGCTCATCCCTCTATCTAACCTTGGACAGTGGTGTTACAGCACAACATAGGAACAAACTATAAATATCAGTTGAAAAGGGCTTAACTCATCAGATCGATACAAAGCAAAAAAAAACATCTAACAAAAACACAGACCGGACGTGGCAGGGTATCTATACATCCCTAACAACAAAAAAGACACAATGGATTTAATTTACTGATATCAAAATCAATATATATATACCAATAAAACAATATTCTAAGATCCCATTACAGCGTTGAGTAGGTAACCCTTTAGAATAAAATTATTTAGAAATACCTTTTTGGCTGATACAAGTCCATTCTTTTACTTGTAACGTGTTAACATCATCAATTTTCGATGCTTGGAAAAGTGGATTTCTTGGAAACTTTATAAGGCATTTAGGTTTCCAGTAACATTCTGCAATGTTTACAATGAGATCAACAGGTTGTCCAAGACTAGAAGGGTTTCTCGCTCTGCATGTTTTATCGGTAGCCCATATTGTCGGGTTATAGATGATAGACCCTCTTGGACAGCGTATCTTGAGTGCTTGGCAGTCTGCTTTTGAACGCTGTCTGAAACATCCTTTTTGTTTCTTTGATTTTGCACAAGCAACTGAAAAATTGAAATAGTCTTGATGCCTGTACATATATCTGCAGGGGAAATGAATTTTGATTTTTGAAGTCCGATTTTTTTTAATTTTGAAGTCCAATTTTGATCTTTTGTAAATCAACCTCACTATAAATTAAAAGACGGTTTTACATTTTTTTTTAGCATAAACCACTTCGTTAAGACATCAGTTGTTACTGCATTAATTTCTAATTTTATAATTATATGGTCTAGTTTTGTATTTTACTGAAACACCTCACTAAACTAATTCTATTTCGTGGATTATCGTAGTAACTAAAAGCAGACTCTATGTATCAATACATCTGATATTCTTACTAATATTTAAATACAATATACGTATAAGTATATATGTAGATAACATTACATACAGTTTATTCTTGTGTTATGTTCAAATTATCTGTGTACTGAAATGAAACGTGTTTAAGATTGTAAATATAAGAATTGAGATAAATCTTTTTTATAAATCTAAACGGGACAAACTGATTTCTCACCAGTATAATGACGATGATTAATGATTCTATCTATTTGCAAAATTTTATGAAAAGTGTTTAAAAAATACTGAAATAATTAGCAATCAAACAATGATGAAATTCATAAATTATTAGTACTGCGATGAAATACCTGTCCAGAAGATCAAACAGAAGTAAATAGTTTTTAGAAACATGTTCAACTCCATACTTGACAAGGAATACAAATATTGGGGATGTGTGGTCGAAAGTTATTCTGTTTAAAATAGGGAAGTCCATTAAAAGATCAGGAATCCACAAAGAAACGGACGAAAAGGTGTGATGTGTGATTATTAGTCACCCGTTAAAACATTACTTCCTCATTATAATCATAAAGTTTTTTGAAAATATTACATTCTTGTTACTATTTCTAATTATATTATTACAGTGTGGGTGGTGTGACTATTTCCTTATATGTTAATTCAGATCAAATATGTAGTTGCGCTATTATATAATATAAGGAAATAAATACAGTATTACTATACGATTTGCCTTTAAAATCTTTTATTTTTGATTCAAAAGATTTACGGAACAGTGAAATGTATTTCATTTATAGTGTGACATCATTACATCTTGTATTGCTCGGATGAACGGAAGTATTGACATTTTGTATACTGTAACAAAGAATAAATAAGTATTTTGCACTTGCTCTCAGTAAACGGTAGCATTTTTTTTAATTTTTTATTTTACGATAAATTAGTGTTCATTTTATTAATATCTTTTTGTATTGTTTTCGGTGTAGGCGATTTTTATTATAAACATTTCTGTTTTAGTATATATATATTGAAGACCGCACATTTCTGATACTCAAAAAGCGGCATCAACCAGTCAAGAATTCCATTTGAGAAGACGAAATATTGCTTTCAGTAGATGATTTGAGTTACAGTGACTGCATATTTTCTTTGGCACTATACCTGTAACAATCGATTTATATGTACAACGTATCTGTGTTTCTGTGTATGTAATACCTATTTTATATAGTTAATTGTTGGTTTTTGTTCTGAACTGCAATATTGTACGATTTGCAAAGTCCACTGATACTGATAAATTTAGGAAGAACAGAGTACTAAAATACAAAATGTAAGTGTCTGTTGCAAGTCAGTGTATTTTTATTGTTATCAAATTGTCAAATGAAACAATGGAATTTGTCATGAATTGTAATAGTCGATCTAATATCTTCTTTTCTATTTAAAACAACAACTTGATTCATTTCGTCCGAAGCGTTTTTTCTGGACTTAACTTCATCAGAAACACCCAAACCCAAAAATTTGAAAAACGAAGGATGTATAAGACTGAATCACGTGAAAAGCTGTATGACTAAATTAGATCTAAAAGAAAAGCCGATTTTAGCAACATTGCCTGAGGGAGTAGGCACCTTAGTTTCTTAATAATTTCGTTTTCTTTGTGATCTACCTACACTTGTAGTTTATATCTTTACACATATGGCAGAGACTCTAAGGTTATATTTGTATGAAGGTTATATGTCTTCTACTAGATGTCAGTCCTGAATTCATGTTTTGTTAGATTGCTGTCTAAGTGACCTTTACACATATATCTGTCTGATACGTAACATGTTTTTCTTGTCAAAATGTCATCCCTACCGTGTCTTCAGAAGAGAGGCAAAAAATACCAAAGGGACATTCAAACTAATAAGTCGAAAACAAACTGACAACGCCATGGCAAAAAACGAAAAAAGACCTAAAGTCGAACAACAGTGTTGTATACAAAACACAACATAACAACCCTAAGACTGAGCAACATGAACCCCACCAAAAAACAGGGATGATCTTCATTGTGCAACCTAGAGGCTAAACACAATTGGGGATTACATAGCTGAAAATCCTTAATGTCATTTTTAATTGCAAAGAATAGAAACGTATCAATGAATGACTATACACCTTCTTTTGTATTTCAGAAAGAAAAAAAAAACACTAAATATTTACCTAGTTGAAAATCTTGAAACTAAATAAATATATCATGAAAGCTGTTTCTTGATATTTGTGCATTTTATTTATGATCCATTTTATAGGACAGCGGACAGACAGAACAATTAATTGGTTAATCGTCAAATTAATTGGACAAATAGTCCGTTTATATTTTCGGAATAACAAAATGAAAATACCAATTTTGATTTTGGTCAAATCAGAAATGATTATTAAGATTAGCTATGAGTCGTCTAAAAGCAGACTTAATTTCTAAATTTCTTTTCCGCTGTGAATTAGTTTAACCAATTCTTTATGTAAAGGTACAATTTATGTGATCTCGGAATAATCTTTAATAGCAAGACCAACACCAAATTTAGAAGTTCGTGGAGTCAAATTGCTGTCCTCAAAAACAGCCTTTTTTCAGTTTTAATGTCACTCCGAGGGACAAAAAATAATTTAAAAAAAGAAAGATAATAGTAAATGACATACTCAGAGTCACGAAAACATGCAGAAGGTTATTTGTATAGATGTTAAAAAAACGGAATTTGGTAGAGGAGTTTTGAGTATATCCAATAATCAAGGTTGTATATACGTTAAGAACGACAAAATATACGGCTGTTTATATATATATATATATATATATATGTCTAAATTGAAAACAACGTTCAAACCTATGATTGCGTTGGATAAAAACCGTAATTTTTATACGTGTGCATGTAAAACAAATTTCTTGGTAGAGGGGTCTAAATACAGCACAAACAACATTTTCCAAAAGACCAATAAAGTGAAAAGTATATTTTAACAAAACGCATTTGACTAACAGGTCGAACAACTGATGTTCTTAAACCCTGCTGACTGCCATTGACGATTGCCAAATAAATTGATCACCAGATGTAACATGGATCTTATATTTAATTTAATACCAAACAGAAAACAATAAACTTGCGGAGAAGATGGTATACCGCAAACATGAGGTGCAAAAATTTGTACACCATATCCGGATTTCGACAATTAATGTCTCTTCAGTGATGTTAGGGATCGAAACGGTATTTGGAAGGCCATATAATTTACCTCAATTTAGGATAGACTCTTAAATTTTGAAGAGTCGAAATATTAAAAAATAGGATGAACGGATCATATAAACCGGAAGGAAAATATAATACAAGCCCAAACAAAAAAATATATACAAGTCTAAATTGAAAACAACGTTCAAACCTATGATTTGCGTTGGATAAAAACCACAATTTGTATACGTGTGCATGTAAAACTAATTTCTTGGTAGATGGGTCTAAGTACAGCACAAACAACATTTTCCAAAAGACCAATAAAGTGAAAAGTATATTTTAACAAAACGCATTTGACTAACAGGTCGAACAACTGATGTTCTTAAACCCTGCTGACTGCCATTGACGATTGCCGAATAAATTGATCACCAGATGTAACATGGATCTTATATTTAATTTAATACCAAACAGAAAACAATAAACTTGCGGAGAAGATGGTATACCGCAAACATGAGGTGCAAAAATTTGTACACCATATCCGGATTTCGACAATTAATGTCTCTTCAGTGATGTAAGGGATCGAAACGGTATTTGGAAGGCCATATAATTTACCTCAATTTAGGATAGACTCTTGAATTTTAAAGAGTTGAAATAGGATGAACGGATCATATACCCGGTAAACCCTAAGGAAAATATAATAAAAGCCCAAACGAAAAATTATAAACGAGTCTAAATTGAAAACAACGTTCAAACCTATTATGGAGTTGTATAAAAACCACAATTTTTATACGTGTGCATGTAAAACACATTTCTTGGTAGAGGGGTCTAAATACAGCACAAACAACATTTTCCCAAAGACCAAATGAGTAAAAAAGTATATTTTAACAAAACGCATTTGACTAACAGGTCGAACAACTGATGTTCTTAAACCCTGCTGAATGCCATTGACGATTGCCAAATAAATTGATCACCAGATGTAACATGGATCTTATATTTAATTTAATACCAAACAGAAAACAATAAACTTGCGGAGAAGATGGTAATATATATCACTACAAACCAGTAAAAGTCTGAAATGGCCTATATCTGTACTCGACTGTACTGATTTTTACTTGACCAGTCTGAATTGGTCTGAAATTTACTTGATAATACTCGACTGTAGTCTGAAAATACTTAACAGTCTGAACTTGTACTCGACCAGTACTTAACCATTTTATACACGTCTGAACCATGCTGGACCTAGTCTGAACCATGCTCGACCTAGTCTGAACCATACTCGACCTAGTCTGAATCATGCTCGACCTAGTCTGAACCATACTCGACCAAGTCTTAACCAACCTAGACCTATTTTTTGTATCTGATCTATTGTATTTCATCAATTAGGAACTGTTTTTAACAACAGCTATTTCCCCTGGCTAGAAATTTGAACAACAATTTGAAATTAAAAATGTATTCAATATAGCATTGAAACCAAAATTTCACAATAAACATAATATAACTTCATCACCATATTCATCAACACTTATATACATACATATATATCACCTTTAAAATAGAAATAAAACAAGCTGATCAAATAATCTCAAAACTGAATTGTGACTAATATTTTCAATGTTATTCAAACATTTTTGAATGTTTCAGATATACTTTATGGTTGCTGGACAATTTTCACCACTAACTTAAGCCTAGTATAGATTTATGGTGTCAGTTGAGTTTAGTTAATAATGCAGTGAACATTTTTTTTTATTAAAATATATATAAAATAGCATATAAAGCAACTTGATAAATTTAAAAAATGACACCTTTGTTTTGTTAAACCAAGAATTTAATATAATCATGATAATAGAACTTCCATAGTAATCCTGTAATAAACTTTTAAAAAAGGAAATGTGTTTCAATTAAATTTAAATAATTTTTGTCAAAATTAAAGACATGGCATACAAGAAGCACTTTAATAAGGTTTAATTACCTCAGTACATGTATGTTTTACAGGTAAAAAGAAAGCCCTATTTTTCTTAAACTCGTGTATTACTTATCTAGTGAATTCAAAAGGCCTTGTGATTTAAGTTTCACAGGATGTTGCAATTTTGAATGAATGTTATTTAGAATTTAATACTCTCTGACCAGGTGTGATCTTTTTCATGAGTTTGCCCCAAGCAGGTGGTATTACTTTATACTCCACCACTAATCAGAAGAACAATTTTATTTTTATCTCCTTTTTGATATATATTGTATATAAT